GTCATCAAGGATCATATGTCGTACCATTTTCCCCCTTCTGTTTTCCTTCATTGCCTTCAAAAGATTTCTGTCTTCCATCTTCATTTGCTATTTTCTTATCCCAGCTTATTTTTTTCGTTTACCTTCAGACGTACATTTCAAATTCATCCAATCTCTCTGTCTTTCTTTTTATTTATCCTGGTTACCCATACGAAATGTGAAATGTAAAGAAATTAACATTTTTACACTACCTCAGATTACATTTGTGAAAATATCATTTATGCTTGGAATAATAGTCATTTTTTATTTATTATGAAAAACAGTGACAAATACTTTTATTATAAGTATAAAAATAAGCTGGCTGTGTTTGACAGTCGTCTTCACAAAGTCTCAAATTCATTTAAGGGGCAATGTATACGCTTCTATAATTAGATTCCGTTTGGCATTCAAAATTTCGTCGCAGGAAAGCGATAATGCTGTAACCCGCAATACCTGCGTTTGGTCTGGGTCTCATGTCTCTAAAATGAGAAATAAATTCAGTACAGCATAATTTTTAGCGCTTTTTTTCGGATTAAAGAATTTTAAAACGATTTAACCCACATAAAAACCAGTGCTTCTTTTGCGAAATGTTCATTACATCAAGAACGCGTAATAAAATTTTTCTTAGCCTCTGGTTACAGCATTTTTGCAATCCCTAATATTAAAATTGAAGGGGTAATAGTGAAAGTGGACCGGGAAAGTAGACCAATTGTACCGAAGGGGTTTTAACAGTGCAGTGAGTGTGACGATGTTTGAAAACAAATAAAAACAAGTACAGAACTTCTCTTTACGCCATTTTATCCTTCCCTCGCTTCATGACACTGCGACTTACAGCAATCTTTATAGACTGTGCGTGCAGCAGTGAAGGTAGTTGTGTGTTTTGTCCAAGTTCTTTTATAGCAAAATCGATAGTATTTTTTCAATTATTAGTGAAAATATAATTTATTTTCCTTATTTTATTTTGTTGTTTATTATATTTATTCAGACCATAAGAGTCACAAATTAATGAACTATAATTAATTAATTGAGGACTCGTAAATACTATATAATAAATGCATCATTTAACTTTCTTACTTAAATAAGTAAGAAAGGTAAATTACAGTAAATTTTACTCCAATCACTATGATTAAAGTGATTTTATAAATCCTACTAAGTTCAAAGTTCTTGTGAAATGTAAGTATGTTAATATGTGATTATTATTCACTACATCACTAAAATGGATTTACAATATTGCAAACAAGCCATTTTCTGGATACATACATAAAATTTCTCGCCCTTCTCCCACCGGGGCAGGCAGAGACTACAGCATTAACACAAGAAATGTTTATACCTGTAGTGGATTTCCGTCTTTTTATGAAGTTTTTTCTCATTCCACATCGCAGTAACCATCATCATTTATTCAGCAAACTTATGTATCACAAAACCTTATTTCTAGCACAGGATGAACCTTGGCACAGCCAATAGCACAGATTACGACAAAATTGTTACATGACTGTAGGTTAAGTTATTCATTACCATAAAGTTTAATTAATAATAAAATACACATATAAAATATATGCTACATGTGTTGTTAACAAATTTAATATAAAAACACAAATAATGTCACAAAAAAGAAGAAAATGGCTAGATGAGCTAAGAGAGTACAAAGAAACAATTTTCTGTCGACGAATGCTAAGCTACTAGTTCAAAACAATCTAAGACTGAAATTTTAAATAACAAATTCCTAAGATTAGTTGATGATTACTATTATTCTTTTATAGAACTCTAAGGAATTTGCAATTCATTAGTTCTAACAACGATGTAATATGGCACACAAAATGTCAATGATTTTGTAGTATTGTGTTAAATCTCCAATATTATAATTCGATTTGTTTCATTTTACTCACTGTGATCAAAGTCTTTATAAATAATGGTTCAATAATAAACATTTTAAAAGTCATGTAAATTGCATGTGATTTGCACTAACACCATTTTAATGTTACCTGCTTTGGTTTAAAAAATACTGTTACAGCAGTATTGAATTTCGTACATCTTCAAGAAGTTAACGTTTAAATACCAAAAAGTGTTAAGGAGCTCCAATTCCTTTACATCACTCTTAGAATACCATAAATTTACTGCATTAGTCGCACCTTCATACAAATTAACTTGAAAGTTACAGCATTCTTTGGAGTTAAAATCTGAAATTAATATGTCGTAACCCACATAATCGTCATTAGGAGTAGGAGTATTTGAAATCCGAGTTTATTGTTAAGAAGTCCTACTTTTTATAGCTTTATTTGCTAAATATGGCACAAAAATGTCGAACCGTTTCAGAGTTATGTTTATTTTTCGTAGTTGCAGTTTTTGTTTTGGCTCCAGCGAAAACTTGAGTTTCTGAGCATTATCGCTTTCCAGTGACGATTTGCCACCTACGAGCTTTACAACCGCAGCGTAAAATCCATGGTAGTGACCCATTTAGCTATTGCAGGTAATCTCGATTTATGATATTTGGAATAAATATTTATTTACAAAATGTTTATTTACAAAGAGCAACCTCTAGAGCTCCTTACTCATTCGTCTCAGAGGAATCTGCCTTACAAATGAGTTTAATAAATGTGACGATATCAACTGTAATTTGTTTTCATATAAGTCGACAAAATGGGTTTATATAGATAGAGATTTGTTTTGTTCAAATAAGCAATAAAAATAAATGAACCAAAAAATTATACATATGACAATAAGCTGAATTTACTACATTACAATTACAATCTGTTAATTCTATAGTGTATTAACTCAAAAAGTGTTTCTTATTCAGAATCTATGATAAATGAATTACTCATTGCCCGTGAAAGATTATTAAAATGTATGTATAGGTTAAAGTCTTTTATTTTTTAATATTTTTGCCAAATATATTTAAAAATAAAAAGCAAAAATAATTTCTTATTTTTGAATAAGGACTGTTTTGTCCAGAACTAAATCATATAAACTTTATTTTATATTTATATATTATTAAGTACATAACTTTTAATTGTTTCTCACAATATTCTATCGACTGTTGTGTTGACGTATAAAGATTAAATTTTTTTTTCGCAGTAGTCTTGAATTTAACTTATTTTGAGTTACAACACTATTGTAGTAGCAGTGCGATATATAAAAAGAATATTCGAAGCCCCCAAATAATAAATATAGAGGCTGGAAGGAGGAACAAAAAAAACTGTAATTTATTGCTTACCTGAAATAAAGATTATTTGAAATGCAATTTGAGTACATTAATGACCAGTTACTTTTAAATAATATGACTGTGACTGCAATGATACATCGAGTCAAGTTGACGAAAACAGACGATTCACTCATAACCCATGCGTAATGTGATCGGGTCAAATGATTTGCTCATTATATTGAATCCTTTAGCGGGTCACTCGTAGCTCGCAATACTTCCATTTGGCGTTTTAAAGTGTCAAAAGTTACAATTAGCTTTTATCCTTTAACTTTTGTTAAAAATGTTGTATGAAAATCAGTAGGGCTTCTATAAGCGTCTAATTTTAAGCTTTGTCAAAAGCTACTATTAAAATACTGGTTTTTATTTTCCATTTCAATCTGCTATTCTCGATTTAAATCTATAACAAATATATCAGTTAACTACGAACACTATATTGTTGAATATCCTTCAGAGAAAGAGTTGTGTGAGTATTAAATTTCCATCATTAAATCTTTCCTCTAAAGAGACAAAGTATTAAAGTTCCTTGCGAAGGATTCTTTGGACGTTGTTATGAAGTTTTTCTTTATGTTTATTATTTCAAAGGCATTAAGTAAGTAGCTTTGTCTTAAATTTTTAAACAACAAAAAGTATAAAATATTTACTACACTTTCAAATATTAATAGAAACAGGTTTATATGAGATTTTTTTAATGTTTGTATCCACAAAATTTTCGCTTTATAAGTATCGAAATACTTTTTGAATGTTGCACTATATATTGTTTACAGATTGAATGATATCTTTATACGCAAGTTGACGACTTTGGTGGCCTAACCAATTTGGAGAATGAACTATTCTAAATTGGTTCTGGTCTAGGTGTTCTGGGAAGCAGCAGTAAAGCTCCTAGTACTGCCACCTTACCTATTTCTGCCGCCAAGCAGTAATGCGAGCATTACTGCGTTTCGATTTTGGACGCTAAGGGTGTTGGTGAAATTGCAGTCTCGTGGGACTTGTCAGCTTATGTCTCAGGATGACGGGCGCAGTGCCCCTCAGATCTTTGTGATTTAAAGCTCTGAGTAGCACTGAAACTGTTAAAGACAGGCGTGTCGCTTACCAATTCGTTCCGTGATTTGCTATCATAAAAAAAAAATTACTGCAGAGTTAATTTCGTTGCTCTGGTACTCATTAGCACAGGGATCCTTAGAGACAATAAGTGTCGACGTCTGGCAGATTTAAAAGTGAGTGAGTTCTTGCAAAAGGTTTTTATGGAGCTGAATTCCGATGTAGTCTCGCCGAATAATTCAATCGAAATGCAGTTTAAAAATTACTAATAATAGCGTGTCAAGACACTCCAAAAGTAATTATAGTGACTCGTACCCTTAATATTATTGTAATCAGGAAATGGATAACTATATCGACACTGGAAAGCTAAAACGTCTAACGTGCATTTGGGAAAATATTGGGGGAGAGCGATTTAAAGTATTTTTTTAAGAAATTCTAATTTTATTAAAATTTTTATTGAATGTCAGAATGTTTCACCACCATTATATTAATTTTTTTTAAATTTACTTCACTAGTTTGTTGTAATTATTAATACAAAGATCGGCACATAAAAATTTCCTTCGATCTGACCGGGTACGAACCCACGTCTCCTAGCAAACCGTGTCAAGCGCTATGCCAACTAAGCCACGGAACGAACCAGCGGACCGAGCGAATTTTTCGATATGATTGTTGTCGGATCTTTGTATTTGGTTATTCAATGACTTTTTAGCCTAATCTAATTTTAGTTGTTTTATGGAAAACTTACTTCGCTGGTTCAGCGACCCGAAGTGGAACTTGGCCTCTGAGACCAAAATACGCCATTTCTGTCGGTCTGTGCCAATTCCAACCATTCGGACCAACTTCTTTAGGTCTTTGGCGACTTCATCTTCCAGCGAGATCTTGGACGACCCGCTGGACGATGACCCGTAGGTTGCTTCAAACACGCTCTTTTTGCAGCTCGACCCTCTCCCATTCACTAGTTCACACACCAGACACTAGTTCTTCTATCTCTCTATTGAATTTGGCCCTCCAGTTCCCAAATTCTCCTTTGATTGTTCCCAAAATCTTTCGAAATATCTTCCGATCCACCACTAATAATTTATGTTCTTCCTTCAGCGTAGTGTCCATGTTCCACACTCATACGTTAAGATTGGCCTAATTACTGGTTTGTAAAACGAACCATTGTAGTCCTGCTTAGTAACTTGGACACCAGCAATTTGTGAAAGGCTGCTGTACATCATAGCGCGTTTAGTATACGAATACTGATTTTTATCCTCCCTTTGATTTGTGTCGGTGATAGTGTATCCCAGATACTTAAATTTGTCGACGCCCTTATAAGTCTTATTTTATGGAAAACCTGAAACTTTCTAGTTGTCCATATAACAAATAAAATTAGAGTTATGTATGTTTAAATCGCTCTCCTGCAATATTTTCAAATTACACGTTAGGCGTTTTATCTTTCCAGTGTCGATATCATTATAGAGAGCAAATTATTAAACTTGAGTTTTCCGAATCCTATACAAAGGGTGTAATGACAACAATATGCTCAATTTACAATATAAAGTTGAAGCACAGTTCTAATTATTGATCAATTACGAGTCTGTTAAAACAATTAATTGGAAATAATTGCTCTGACGCAGGTTACATTTTGTAGAATCTATTTGGTATCATTTGCTACATTGTAGATATTCTCTAAGTGAGAACGGTTCATTCTCTTTACTACCTAAAATTTAATTCGCTCAGAGTCGAACCTACACGGCCTCTGCTTGAAAAGCGGTAAGTCAAACCATTATCAACATATATGATTTTATTCCTCTTATAAAGCATGCATGTTGTCTATTATCTGGTGTAGCTTTACTACCTTTTTTAAGGCGTAAATTTATATGTAGAATCAGATGTTTCCATTATAGATACCTAAAATATTACAGCTATTAAGAAAACCCCAAAGTGTACATAAATGCTGTAATTAAGGAAATTGCTATATTAAGCAGCGACGACATCGCTATTGTTAAGCTGGTTTATATAGGGTGCAAATAGCCTTAACTTGAGACAGTAGCGAACTAAAACTTTGTTGCCTCCGTTTTCGTACAGTTTTCGTAGATTATGGACTTTAGCTATAGCTTTAGCGTTAGGGGTTGCAGTGCCACTCAGAGCTTTACTGCGTTCGCTTTAAGGTCACTGCGCCTGTAATTTCACTAACACCCTTACCCTATAAAACCGGAACATAGTATTGTTCACATTACTGCTTGGCGGTATTAATAATGGCGGTAAATAGTGGTAGTACTTCCCCGTATGGAATCTTTCACAAGGAGCTCTACTGCTACGAAAAACTGACAATTGAACTTACTTTTACAATACTAAACTTCTCCTATTTGCCTTTGTTTGTATTCAAAAACATATCCATTAGACAGACATTTTAGGTCTAGTACCTCAAGGATCGAGTCTGGGACCGCAAACTTTACGTAGTCCAGCCCTGTAGTAAAATACGTCAAGGAGACAGGCAACGTATGACTTGTATTTTTAACATTGTTTATTGTAACATTTGAAGTATATTTTCGAGGCGTTTATTTTGGGCAAATCTATTTTTGTGTTTTCAATATACGACAGGTGAAGAAATTGATGATATCCATTAATTATGTAAAGTGTTTTCCATTTCTTTAAACATCGATATGGGACTGAAATATCACATGTTGGAGATGCGTCTCTGCGTAAAACGAATAATGTCTACAGTCTACTACGTGTTGATCGAGCGATTGCTACCGACGTTCTGAATTTGTCCCTGTCTACAGCACTTACGGGAATATAATATGGTGTGGTTCTCTCCATAGCCGGGAACGACTACTCATGGAAAACAGAAAACTTGTATCTACATATTTAATTAGTTACTCAGTTAGTTTTTACAGTTATTAGTTTATTTGGATTCAGGGGGTACTTTACGAAAATCCATGTTTTTAAAAACGGAGATAAATAATTTTGTTATTTGGCGAACTCAGTGATGGTTAAAGTCTGAAACACATAAAGAGCGGGTGCAGGCCGGGTGTGAGTCGGGCGCGAGTCGGGCGCGATTTAGGCGCGAATCGGGTTTAATTCCTAACTATTAATATGGAATGGAATATAAAAAATATTCCTCTCATATTTTCATCATATTTCCCAGTATTTCATTCGGTCATATTTTACCATCCTCCCTCCGCGTAAGATAAATAACACAATAGCAAAAACAATCACAAGCACCACCACCAAAAATATACCCGACACGCGTTTCGCATCTCTAAGCTAGGCATCCTCAGGAGTTTTTGATTGTTCGATGCTCGGCGAAAGCATTTTTCTTCTTTATTAACCTTTACTGGGTTCGAGTATCAAAATAATTTACTTCCATTTTTATTGTTGTGTGTACGTATACTTCGTCTAGAGCGTTTGTAGCGAGACGGGCAACGCACGCGTTTTAACCGGCGCTTTGTTAACGTCGGGTTTAAATCGGTTTACAACCCATTAACGCCCAAAATCGTGGGTAAAAACTATTTACAACTACATATGTCGAGTAAATCGAGTTTTGTTCAAATTTAATTGTATTATTACAAAAGTTTAATTGCTTTTTGATCTAGATGATTCGATTTGCTTTTCTATTGAAAATAAATCGATGCAAAAAACTTTACATTGTATAAACTTGAATCGATTTTCATAAAAATCGAATAGTAATGCACATCCTTAATAGTGCTTTTTTTATTAATGATTTTTTCGGCTCGGGTACTTTGCACTTTTGAGCCAATCGTCAAAATAATCCTTTTATAACGAAAATAAGACGCTTTTAAAGTAAAATGAAAACACTTTAAATTTCCTTCACAGTGTTAAATATAAAGTTACATATTGCTTTAAATAGTTTTTCCTTGAGAGCAACGCTTGAACGTTTTTAGAAACATCCTATGACTGTCATCGGCACAAAGGTCCTTTATTTCTGCCACAAGTATCAGACGATGAAAACGGTATTGAACACAGGTGAAAATGATACCTACGTTGTAAGTCGCTTGTTTTGTGGACATTTATCATTTAGAAGGATTCAAAATCTGTTCAGGTGAGCAGGAATTCAGCAGTGGCCAAATCTCGTTCTATAAATCTACAGGTAATTGTAATGTAGGTATTGCAATGTAGGTATTTTATGGAGTTGCATCTTTTTCGTCGAAAAAAGATTTTTTGCTTTGAAATTTGTAGTAAGTATGGAATTATAACAAATTCGTATTTGCCATTTTAGGCCATGATTTTGAGCAGAAATGGGTTAAACCACTTTGGGTAAAAACTCGGTTAAAACCCGAGTGGATTGATTGAGTTTTAACCCACTGCCCATTTATGCCTATAATGCATCACGCTGACCTAATGCGATTGGAGAAATACATATATATTCACAGAGTTTATAAAAACCTCTTCCGAAATGGAAGTTACTTTAAAATCTTCACCGTTAATGTAATAAGAACAGGCAAACAGGAAGTTACATGAGGTATATTACATTACGTAATCCACTATGACAAATTGCTTTAATTAAATTAGTAATAATTACCTAATTAATTTAATTTGAAATTCATAATATTATGATTAACTAAAATCAGTACAAACTTATATTTACGGATGATAAAATGTGCGACTAACGATTTATTTTACGGTTCGTTCGTTTCCAGTACAACTATTAGCAGCATTAAAAATGTGGCGCTTTAGAATCGATATGTGTCTCGAACACTCTAGAATATGTATTAATTATCGCAAACTGTAGTGTAACCAAATAAACACGCATGTACCTCCAACATTACATACGTCAAGGCATTATACAAGACATTAGAATTGAAAAATGATTGGCAAGTCCGTTTTATTTTTAATGGGTAAGGTATTTATAGATCAGAATATTACATCAGCAAAGACATGTAAGAATATAAACCTACAATGCAATTAAAGCTGTACACAGCATTTTAGTCCAAACAGTAGACATTAAATACCTAAATAAAATTAATTTAATATATTTTTAATTTTTTTTTAAATTAAATAGCTAACTCTCTTTTTAAAAGAAATTGTATTTATTTTTTGTCAATTTCGTAGTACTTATATGTATGTATAAATAGTTTTTGATGATATAGTGGTTCCCAAAATAAATAACTTTTAAGAAAACGTATAGGGCAGTCAGAAAAGAACAGAATAAACCAAGAAAAAATTGAGATATAAACTTACTTTTAGACTTAATATTTTGTGTAAGCTTACCGCTACCAATGCTTAACTTCGTTTTATATGATGTAAAGGAATGACTGTCAAAAATGTAACTTAGAATTTTAAATTAAATCTTTTCATAGCAGAATTTTTTTACACACACGAGTTGAATTTCTTCATTTTGAAACGTTTACAGTGCTGCTAACTTAACAAAATGAATTTATCAAAGAGTGAAGGTGGTATGAGGAAATTATTTTTTTGGTAGGGACATAAGTAGTGATACATTTTTAAATTTATTTATCGTGTTTTTACCACAGGATAGCTTTAATTTTGCATAAACATATTTTATTAGATCCAATGTTTGAGATTTAAAATGGGTTTAAAGGTTATTTTTGTTAATTAAGTGTGTTTGATTATGGAACTTGAGACATAGTGAGGCAATGATTTTGGGGACATTTTTACATTATTTGTTTTTTAATTTAAATAGACTAATCAATATTTTATGTAGGCATTAGTACCAATAGATTATTCTGTGATATTAAATATTAATTTTACGGCAAGAATTAAATACTTTTTTTTATAAACGCAAAGGACAAGAATTTCGAGATTTTGTAAGAATTACTATTTACTATTTATTGTTAGTGTTTATAGTTATTGGCAAATGTTGTGTATGCCTATAATTGGCTAGCATACTTATATAGAGATCACTGTCTGTAACGTGTTATAATATTAATTGTTATACAGGGTATCCCACGGCTATACCACACGGTGGGAAAGTGCCTGCGGCAAAGTCAGAGAAAAGGCATTTTCTTGAACATAATTTCAAAGTAAATGTTAAATTTCACGATCTTTCTTTTATTTCAAATGCTATGTTACTTAGAAGAAAACAGTCCTTATGACAGTCCTCAATCGAGGCTTGCGATCAGTATAGTAAAATCACAGGT